GAGGGACAGCGCCCAGGCCCAGAGTTCAGGCCCCACGACCGGAAAAAAAAAAAAAAAAAAAAAGAGAAACAATAATATCTAGCTTTCAGTGTCACTGAGTTATACAAAATCATGAATGTCAGTTTTTCAGCCATGCCTTGCACTTAATAGAGAATTCTCAGAAACATTATTTTTCTTTTCTTCCTTTTTATTGTCCTTATATATCTCTTTGTTTTCACATGAATAAGACTAAGTAAAATACTTTATCCTGTCACATTAGTTTTATTTTGTTTTCCTTCTACATTTTTTTTTTTTTGCCAGTCCTGGGGCTTGAACCCAGGTCCTGGGCACTGTCCCTGAGCTTCTGTTGCTCAAACCTAGCACTCTATCACTTGAACCACAGCTCCACTTCTGGCTTTTTCTGTTTATGTAGCACTGGGGAATCAAACCCAGAGCTTCATGCATGCTTGGCAAGCACTCTACCAGTAAGCCACATTCCCAGCCCCAAAGGCATCGTCTTTAGTTACAGGAAGATTGGTTCAGAGTCCTAGGATTGTAGCGCTCAATAGGCTTTGGAGTCTGCTTTGTGCAGGTTTCTTCCTGTGTTGTTAAGGTGAAGGCATTTGGCTGATATAAGAGGCAAAGAGGAGAGCAGAGACTAAGTGAAATGTCCTGCCCCTTGCTCTCTTCACCTTATGGTGATTAATCTTTATATCCCCATTACATGGAGTTACACAATCTCTAGCTCTCTTCTGAAATGTACTGTCACAGCCTGTTCTAACAGGCCTGCTTATTGTTCTGCCAAATTGCAGAACCAATACTTAAAAAAAAAAAAAAGGACAGTAATGAGGTTGAACTCAGAGCCTCACGCTTACTAGGCAAGCACTCTATCACTTAGCTGCACTTCTCAGTGGGCTCATAGTTTAAAGCTCATCGTTCAAAGCTCAATAGTTCATAGTAAGACCCTTTTTCTCAGATACTCTACCAAGCAGCTCTGGATTAAATCATTTTTAATCTTTGCTACTCCTTCACTGCTAAATTATTACTATTATTTGAAAGGGTGGTATATATTGGGGTAACTTTTTCTTGTATGACTTCATTATTACATGTGAGCTTAAATATTAGTGGTGATGATTAAGTTCTTTTTTTTTTTTTTTGGTTGGTCGTGGGGCTTGAACTCTGGGCCTGGGCACTGTCCCTCAGCTCTTCAGCTCAAGGCGAGCGCTCTACCACTTGAGCTACAGCGCCACTTCCGGTTTTCTGGTGGTTTATTGGAGATAGGAGTCTCACAGTCTCTCCTGCCTGGGCTGGCTTTGAACCGAGATCCTCAGATCTCAGCCTCCTGAGTAGCTAGGATTACAGGTGTGAGCCACCAGCACCTGGCTATGATTAAGTTCTAAATCTAAAAACTTGCTTTTTATTTATTTTTATGTTTTAAAACTTTTATTGTAAAGGTGATGTACAGAGGGGTTACAGTTACACAGGTCAGGTAATGAGAAACATTTCTTTTTGAAAACTTGCTTTTTAGATTCATTTGCTTACTTTTCAAAATACCATTGCTGAAAACTCAAGGGTGCCTATTTAGGTAAAAATTGTAATATGGACATGTTTACTAAGAAACTTCTCAAAATGTACCAGAAAGTTTGCTCTGGAACAGAAGGTAAAATGTATGGTCTCTTCAGGGAATCTTAATATTCTTTCACTGTTACAGGCTAACTAGTTTTCCATAACTTAATTGCCATTAATTAAGTTTAAAAGCCCACAACATAAATACTGCCCTGACCATCTTTAATTTGGCATGTGTCTTTGGTTTCCTTGTTTCCCTTGTTTGAATGCCTATTATGAACAGATTTTTCTCATTACAACCCATTCTTGAAGGTTGTGGCTCATCTGTCATTGGCAATGAACTGCTTATTGGATAATTAAGACTCCCCCCCCCCTGTCATTTTTCTAGTTCAATGCCTCAGACTGTGGGAACAAGAAGTTCTGTATTAGGAGTCCTTTGAACTGCGATCCAGCGGATGAGCCTGCCTGTGTCTTCTTGTCCTTCACCAGGCACGACCAGTCGGTTCTGGTTGAAATGAGTGGTCCCAGTGAAGGCTACTTATCCTTTGCACTTTCTCATGACCGATGGATGGTTTGTACCTCTCGCTTGCATAACTGGTAATGGTTAGAGACTCACAAGAGTGAGCTGTTATCTGTAATTGATGAGTTATTTCTTCAAAGTCAGAGTCTCATACTGAAGGGTGGAATGGGAAAGGAGAGACTGGTACAGAACCGATGCAAAGTTAAATGCCATTCATTGTTTTTTAACAGTTGGGCAATTATGTGCTTCTAAGAACAGACCGTATTTTTTTTGGTCTGGTCATGGGGCCTGAACTCTGGGCCTGGGCGCTGTCCCTCAGCTCTTCAGCTCAAGGCTAGTGCTCTACCACTTGAGCTACAGCGCCACTTCTGGCTTTTTTCTTTTTTGCTTATGTGGTGCTGAGGAATCGCACCCAGGGCCTCATGCATGCAAGGCAAGCACTCTACTAGCGAGCCATCTTCCCAGCCCCCAGATTGTCTTAAAGACAGTTGGGAAGATAATTTTATTTTCGGTAGATTTGCCACTTTATGCTTATGTGTCTCTTGATGATAAAGCACAGAAGCAAAGGTGAAAGTATTAGTGTGGCTGGGGACTGGTGGCTTATGCCTGTAATCCTAGCTACTCAGGAGACTGAGATCTGAGGACTGCAGTTTAAGGCTAGGTTGGGGAGATAAATCTGAGCGATTCTTACGTCAAATTAACCAGCAAAATGCTGAGAGTGGAGGTGTGGCTCAAGTGGTAGAGGGCTAGCCTTGAGCAAAAAAAAGCTAGGGGATAGCACCCAGGCTGTGGTTCAATCTCTAGTACTGGCATGATGAGAAAACAACGAACCCAGTAACAAAACAAAAAAAATTGCTGTGCATAAAATAATCATGTTTGCAATGCTTTTTACTTTTTAGTTTTTTATGCATTTAAAAATTGTTATTATACAGGTGATGTAATAGGGGTTACAGTTATATAAGCCATGTAAAGAGTACATTCTTTTCTTTTTTTTTTTTTTATTGCCAGTCCTGGGACTTGAATTTAGGGCCTGGGTACTGTCCCTGAGATTCTTTTGCTCAAGGCTAGCACTCTGCCACCTTAAGCCACAGCACCACTTCTGGTTTTCTGTAGTTTAATTGGAGATAAGAATCTCACAGACTTTCCTACCCAGGCTGGTTCCAAGTGCTGTCCTCAGATCTCAGCCTCCTGAGTAGCTAAGGTTACAGGTGTGAGCCACTGGTGCCAGGGTAAGAATGTTCTTGATAGCAGAATTTAAATTGAACACTACTTCTTCAGGAAACCCATATTTCAGAAAGAAAAGAAAGTAAAGAAAAAAGATGGTCATGATAGAAGAACCAGTGCTTTTTCTACAATGCACTCAAATCACCTGGTTGTGATGCAGCTGTCACAAGTATTCCACAATACTTAAAGACAGCTTTAAGTTTTCTTTTGAGGAAGATGGCAGTCCAGTGTATAGGAATGACAAAGGCAGTTTACTATACAGCTGTAGAATGCACTGCTATTATCTTTCATGAAACAAAGACTTCAATCTACATGGTACAGGTTCTGCCATGTGCTTTCAAAAAGAAGACCTTTTGAATCTATCCCCTTCAAAGTTGCTTTTATGAGAAATCTGTATACATTTTTACAGGAAATAATGCTATGATTGTTGTAAAACATTTCCCTTAGTTCCTCTTTGTAAGGATTACCAGCTTATTTTGGGAAGTATTTTCAGGTCTGCCAAAATGAGTTGTTTGGTGTTTCTTTTTTTTTTTTTTTCTTCTGTGCCAGTACTGGGGCTGAACTCAAAGCCTTAATGCTGTCTCTTAGCACTTTTGCTCAAGGCTGCCACTCTACCACTTGGACTATAGCTCTCTGCTTCTAAGGTTTTTGGGCTTTCCTGCTCAGGCTGTCTTTGAACTACCATCCTCAGATTTCAGCCTCTTGGGTAGATAAGATTACAGGTATGAGCCACTGGTGCCTGGCTGGTAACTTTTTATGTCATATGAATAATGAAGCTGGGTTAAAAAAAATCCACGTGGGAAAATACTGCACGAAAGGAAATGTACTCATTACCTGACACATGTAACTGTAATACCTTTGTACACCACATTTATAATAACAATAAAGTAAATTAAAAAAATCCAATGTGACTGACTACAAAGCAATCCTGAAAAGGAAGGTAATACTTGTTATAGGAATAGTATTCTGTCAATTGGCTAAATTGGATCAAATTGGATCAAATTCTGAAGATGAATCCAAAAGGATTAAAAAGTGTTGTTGGATAAGCACAGTTTTATTAAGGTTTATTTTTGGGATATAGCATTTATTCACATGTATCTAAATATATATATATATATACACACACATACATATATCTAAACATATTCATATATATCTAAAGATATACATCCTAAGCAACTTATTGTGGTTACTTTAAGCTGAAATCCATGCTTTAATAAGGATACTGTTGTTGGGTTGAGTGTGGTGCCTAGCTCACAGGTAGACCTGTTATTTTTGGCTAAATTGTAGGTAAAAAAAAAAGGCACAAAAGCATTTATCTCAAATTTAGGATATATTTATCTTACTTAGAAATTGGATCTGTTGGGCTGGGAAGGTGGCTCAGTGGTAGAGCGCTTGCCTTGCATGCCTGAGGCCCTGGGTTCGATTCCTCAGCACCACATAAAGCAAAAAGAAAAAAGCCGGAAGTGGCGTTGTGGCTCAAGTGGTAGAGCGCTAGCCTTGAGCTGAAGAGTTGAGGGACAGCGCCCAGGCCCAGAGTTCAGGCCCCACAACCGGACCCCCCCCAAAAAAAAATTGGATCTGTTTCTAGTATAGTATTCATCAAAAAATATTTATAAAAGACGCTTAATTGTGCAGGTGCAGTTGATTTACGGAGTGATCCTGTTGAATGATTAAAATAATCTGTACACCTGTTTGCCTAAATTAGCAGAAACGAACCATCTTCAAGATATATTTTTCAAGTGGTTATTTCTATTTTGGGTTGTTTTAAATTTGTAGAGTTTTTTTTTTATGACCTCTATTTTTTGAGTATACAAATCTAAGTTCAAATTCTGAAGTGATCTAGTATTATAAATACTGGTTAGGTGTATAATTACCCTTTTAAAATTTGGCTTGTAAATTAATGAGAGCAATTGTTCTGATATTAGACTTCATCACTGAAGTTGAGGGAATGGCCAAACATCTTCCCTCTACATTCTTTGTGTTGTTGTCGTTGTTGGTCATGAGACTTGAACTCAGGGCCTGGGGACTGCCTCTGAGCCACACTTCTGGTTTTCAGGTGGTTAATTGGAGATAAACGTCTCATGGACTTTCCTCCCCAGGCTGGCTTCGAACTCTGATCCTCAGATTTCAGCCTCCTGAGTAGCTAGGATTACAGACATGAGCCATTGGTGCCGGCTGAATTTTCAATATATCTATCCTTTCTTTTTTCTTTTTAGTGCTGTTTCTAGGGTTTGAACTCCGGGACTTTTGCTCCCACTTTAGCTTTTTTCACTTAAGATTGGCATTCTACTACTTTGGCCATGCCTCCAGCAAAAACGCCAAGCTGGAGGCATGGCTCAATAGTAGGACATGGGTGCAAGGTCCCTTAGTTCAAGCCACAGACTATGGCAAGGAAAGTGGAATATTTTGAAATAAACTTCAGTCAGGAAATAGAGAAATATGTTAGAATTTCATATTGGATTTTTGAGATGGGTATCACTATGGAGTCCAGGCTAGTCTTTGAATGGGAAGTGTTGGGATTCATAGTGCAACTGATTATAATAGGGTAGTCTTGACCTTGTTTAAGCAGTTAGTGAAGCCGGGTGCCGGTGGCTCACGCCTGTAATCCTAGTTACTCTGGAGGCTGAGATCTGAGGATCACAGTTCAAAGCCAGCCCAGGCAGGAAAGTCCATGAGACTTTTTTTTTTTTTTTGGGTCTGGTCGTGGGGCCTGAACTCTGGGCCTGGGCACTGTCCCTCAGCTCTTCAGCTCAAGGCTAGCGCTCTACCACTTGAGCCACAGCGCCACTTCCGGCTTTTTTCTTTTTGCTTTATGTGGTGCTGAGGAATCGAACCCAGGCCCTCCAGCATGCAAGGCAAGCTCTCTACCACTGAGCCACCTTCCCAGCCCCAAGTCCATGAGACTTTTACCTCCAATAAACCACTAGAAAACCAGAAGTGGTGCTGTAGCTCAAGCAGTAGAGCACTCACCTTGAGCTGAAGAGCTGAGGGACAGCGCCCAAGCCCAAAATTCAAGCCCCATGACAGACAAAAAAAAAAAAGAAGAAGTTAGTGACTAGAGCTGGTGTGATAATGTATCTATAGTTCTGTTGCTGGAGAGCTTGAGACAAGAGGATTTCTTTTCTTTTTTCCTTGTGTGTGTGTGTGTGTGTGTGTGTGTGTGTTTGTGTGTCAGTTCTGGGGCTTCAACTCCGGTTCTTGAGCTTTTATTTTTTTCTTATCAAGGCTAGTACTCTACCACTTGAGCCACAATTTTACTTTAGGCTTCAAACTGTGATCCTCAGGTAGCTAGAATTATAGGTATGGGCCACAAGCACCTATGTGTGCAAGAGGATTTCTTTTTTTCCTTTTGTCGGTCATGGGGCTTGATCTCTGGGCCTGAGCGCTGTGCCTCAGCTCTTCAGCTCAAGGCTAGCGCTCTACCACTTGAGCTACAGTGCCTCTTCCTGTTTTTTGGTGGTTTATTGGAGATAAGAGTTTCATGAACTTTCTTGCCCAGGCTGGCTTTGAACCTGGATCCTCAGATCTCAGCCTCCTGAGTAGCTAGGATTACAGGCGTGAGCCACTGGTGCCTGGGTGAGGATTTCAGTTTTTAAGCCCAGAAGTTTGGGGTCAGTCAGTCTGTGTAACATAGGGAGACTCCCTACTTTTGAAAATGAGACACTGTGAGTAGTGTAGAAATGGACATGATTGGGCAGTGTATCCTGATTTGTAAATTTTTTGGGATAAAAGCTCAAGAATGGTAACACTGGCTCACAGGATAGTTCTGGGTTTAGTTTTTTGAGGAAATTACAAAGTGACTTTCAAAGTGGTTGTACCCATTTACATTCCCACCAATAGTGCATTAGTGTTCCCCCACATCCTGCCAACATTTGTTGTTGTTTGCATTTTTGATGATGAATGACCAGTCTTACTGGGGTGAGATGGACTTTTTTTAAATTCATATTTCCTTTATGGCCAGAGCTATTGACCAGTTCCTCCTGTGTTTATTGGCCATTTTTACTTCTTGTGAGATATCTCTATTTGGCTTCTTTGCCCATTTATTAATTGGGCTATTGGTTTGTGGAAGGCTTACTTTCTTGAGCTCTTTGTATATTCTGGATCTTTGGTCTTTTATTAGGGACTCTTCCAAAAAAATGCTGAAATTTGTTTAAGCCTTTCTCATTTGCAAATGTTTTTCAGGGTAATGATGATGCTTACATCTGTATTCATGAAGATCAGACTGTGCGCATACAACCTGCTCGTTTGACAGGGCGGAGCCACCCTGTGATGGACAACCGGGTGAGTGAATCATGTCAGCCACCTCCCCCTGCCTGCCCTGTGCCCAGAGCCTCAACTCCCACTTCTTTTCCTCCCACAGATGGCAGCAGTGCCAGAGAGTACTTCATGGTTTGTTAGCACAGTTGGAGTCTTAGTCCCTTTCCAAAATCTTTTATTTATTTTTGTGTGTATATTTTTATTGTAAAAATGCTGTACAGAGGGGTTACAGTTAAAGGAGCAAGGTAATGAGTACATTTCCTATGGAGCGTTGTTACCCCCTCTTTTGTTTTTCCCCTAACATGCCTTCCCTCCCCACCGCTCCAACTCCTCCCCCCGCCCCCACAGTTAGAAAGTTCATTTTCAACATAGTGTCATGTACATCTCATTGTTACAATGGGTTATCCTGTATCCTTATTTCAGCATTCTGTTATTTCCCTTCCCCTCCCCAAATTAGAAAAATGTATATATAAGATGCAAGGCACAGGAATCAAATACAGTGAAAACAGGGGTTATACCATGGAGGAAGACCATACAAAAGAAACAAAAAACAAAACAAAACACATAGTACATCATAAGTATATTAAAAACAACAGCAACAAAAATAAAACCTCTTGTGTCCCTATCTTAGGGTTCATTTCACTTAGCATCATCTTATATGGTCATATGTACATAGCTTTTGACCTCTTCTGCTTGTCCTAGACATATACTGGTTATTGCAAAAAAGGAGACCATGGGACCTATGTTTCTTTGGGCCTGGCTTACTTCACTTAATATAATTTTTTCCAAGTCTTCCAAAATCATTTTTTTATTTTATTTTATTTTTTGTCCGGTCGTGGGGCCTGAACTCCAGGCCTGGGTGCTGTCCTTCAGCTCAAGGCTAGCACTCTACCACTTGAGCCACAGCACCACTTCCGGCTTTTTTCTTTTTGCTTATGTGGTGCTGAGGAATCGAACCCAGGGCCTCAGGCATGCAAGGCAAGCGCTCTACCACTGAGCCACCTTCCCAGCCCCCAAAATCTTTTAGAGAGACAGGTTTCTTGTTTCTTTTCAATGTTGGCAGTACTAGAGTTTGAACTCAGGGCTTAGTGCTCACGTGGCCTTGCTAGCTTGGTTGGTACTCTATCACCTGAACCATACCTCTAGTCCAGCTTTTTGCTGGTTATTTCGGAGACAGAGTCTCTTGGGCTAACTAGACTGGTGTAAAACCTTGATCCTCAGCCTCTTGAGTAGCTAGGATTATACTTGTGAGCCACCAGCCTCAGACCTGACAGGTGTTGAAGAAGAGGCTTAGTTTAACTTTTTTTCTTTTTTTTTGGGGGGGGGGTCCGGTCATGGGGCCTGAACTCTGGGCCTGAGCCCTGTCCCTCAGCTGTTCAGCTCAAGGCTAGCGCTCTACCACTTGAGCCACAGCGCCACTTCCAGCTTTTTTTTTTTCTGCTTATGTGGTGCTGAGGAATCGAACCCAGGGCCTCATGCATGCAAGGCAAGAGCTCTACCACTGAGCCACCTTCCCAGCCCCAGAGGCTTAGTTTAGTGAGAAAGATTTCTTGACTGGTGAGAATGAGGGATACTTGATCAAGATTGATGTCACTGGCAGCTGACTTGTATCTTTTGATGATGTCTGTGCCATATGTGGACCATGGCTGTTGATGAAGTGGTTGTGGTCCAGATGAATGACAAATAGATGAGCTCCAAGTGGGCAGTAGCTCTCCCTACCATAACCAGTGAGGTGTGGCTTCACAGCTGTGTGTAGCTTTCTCACGGGCTCATTGCTCCACTGGCTTGGAATTCTCTCCACTTCTGCCTGCTCAGGCATTGCTGGGTAATTGTTGCTTCAGAGTGGGTGTTTGTATCTGGTGGCCAGATGGAGAGAGTACACTTGCCAGAGTGTCTCATTCGGGTGGAGGAACCTTGGAGTTCTGGCACAGAGTAAAAATAATATTTTTGCCAAATAGGATAAAGACTAATCACCTGAAAGAGCATATTTCCCATAGTCTTCAAAGAGGAAGTGGAGACAATAACTTTCACCTCCCACCTTAGAGGAAGGAAATTGGACCTGATGTTAGCTACTTGGGAAGCTGAGATATAGGAATTATGGTTTGAAGCCAGCTTGTGCAAGAAAGTCCATGAGACTTATCATCAGTTAACCAGTAGAAAGCCAGAAGTGGATCTGTGTCTCAAGTTGTAGATAGATATCCTTGAGTGAAAAAAGCTAAGGAACAGCACCCAGCCCTGAAGTTCAAGCCTAGTACTGGAACAAAAAGAAATGAATTTGAACTAGCTAGAACTAGTTCCTCCTCCTCCTCCTCCTCCTCTTCTCCTTTCTCCTTCTCCTTCCTCCTCCCCGTCCCCCTCCTCCTCCTCCTCCTTCTTTTCCTCCTCCTCCTTGTCGTCATTGTCTTCCTCCTCCTCCTCTCTTTCTTTCTCTCTCACTTTTTCTCACTCTCTCTCCTTTCTTTCTTTCTCTCTCTCTTTCTTTTTCTCTCCTCCTTCCCTCTCTCTCTCTCATAGCACATCTTTACAAAGCACTGAGAAGTCCTATCTGTGTGTTCGCAGAGGCTTCTAGAGGATATGGCCTGGGGGCTGACGGATGGTGTTATCCAGTGTTCTTTCCGCAGAAACATTACCCTTCCTGTGGAGGAGAATAGGTTTGATCTAAATGCAAGCTACTACATTTTTCTAGCAGCTGGTGCAGCCAGTGATGGTAAGTCAGTGATAAAAACTCCTGTCTGTGTTTCTTTTCTTTCCTTTATCATCTCTTTCTCAGAGACCACTGAAATTGCTCCTTTTAAAGGAGATGCTTAGAGGTGAGGAGCTGGAACCCTCTGGGAAGGCAGGAAAGGGGCACCATGGATAGCAACTGATTCATGATTGTCAAGAAGGATGCTTCCTGTTCCTGCTGCACTGCAGCAGTGCTGGTTTACTGTTGCCCCATCCCTCCTTCCCTCCCTCCCTTCCTTCCTCCCTCCCTCCCTTCCTTCCCTTTTGTTCTTTCTTTTGTGCAGGTACTAGGGCTTGAACTCAGAACCCTTTAGTTCTTTCACTTAAGGCTAGCACTCTACCTTTTGAGCCACAGCTCCAGGTCTGGCTTTTTGATGGTTAATTGGAGATAAAAAACTAACAAACTTTCCTGCCTGGGCCAGCTTCAAACCACAATCCTCTTGAGGAGCCAGGATTGCAGGTGTGAGCACTAGCATGGGGCTGTTGCTCAAGTTTCTAAGTGAGCCCAAGGTGGTTTTAGGATTTAGAAGACCACGTGGGCGGATATTGCAATGCACATTTGTAGCAATAGTTAGATCTGATTTAAGGGCTTCCCTAATGGTGCTTTGGGGGAGCTGCAGGAAATATTAAGGATAGTGTTTGGTAACTCATATCTCTGGAAGGGATGACAGTGTCCCCCAACTATGGGAACAGAGGTAGTTGTTTTGAACATGGTGAGTAGGGGTGGAAGATTAGTACAAATTTGGTGTAGGCAGAACTGGGAGAAGCTTTGTCTTTCTATTCTTTGCTTTGCATTTTCTATTGTTGGTGAAGTACAGTCCCAGGGTACTATGTCCTGGGGTTTGAACTCAGGGCCTGGACACTGTCCGTGAGCCTCTTAGTGTTCCAGGTGAGCGGTCTGACACTTCACCCACAGCATCACTTCCAGCTTTTTCTGAGTATTTTATTGGAGATAAGAGTCTCACAGAATTTTCTGCGTGGGCTGGCTTAGCACCTCAGATCTCAGCCTCTTGAATAGCGAGGATTACAGGTGTGAGCCACTGGTGCCAGACCCCTTCATCTATCATAGTGTTGCTTTTGTATATGAACAATAACTGTTAGTATTTAATTATTTTTTCATTACAGTAAGACATCTTTCTTCTATTCTATGCCCATCCCTTAAGTCCTCCTCCCTGAGGAAGTAATATTTCTTTCTCATCTTTAGGTAAAATTTCTAAACACTCTAAGCAACCCTTGATTACTTATGAAAAATATGATGTGACCGGTTCTGCAAAGAATGTAGGAGGCTCTCGGTCTTCACTGCTCTTGAAGGCTCATGGTGAGTTACTTGGCTGGGGTTATTGGTATTATGACTTGATGGACTAAACTTTGTTTCTCACCCAGTGTTGGCTGGATTAGGGACACTCTCAGCAAAAAAACCCCAAAAACAAGTTAACATAAATCTGATATGTTTAACCTTTGCAGGTAGGAATGTTTGCTAAGTTTATTCAAAATAGAAAGTAGGTCTAATTCTGCCATTTTAAACCTGGGTTCTTATTGAAATCAGCAATGGGACATTTGATGCATCTGTAGTTTTAATATAATATCCCAGTTGTTTCCCTCCCTCCCTCCCTCCCTCCCTCCCTCCCTTCCTTCCTTCCTTTCCTTCCTTCCTTCCTCTCTTCCTCTTTCTTTCTTTTCTTTATTTTTTAAGATTGTTTTAAGGATACCAGGATTTGAACTTGATCTTGCTATTGGTTTGACTTGCTTGTTGTGCAGTCTGGTGTCCTACAACTTGAGCTTTCTTTTCAGTCCTTCAGTTTTGCTGATTGGTTTGGAGATGTAATCTGAGGAGGTTTCTTTCCAGGCGGGTTTCCAGCTGTGATCGTTTTGGCCTCCTGAGTAGCTAGGATTACAGGCCTGAATCACTGGCACCTGATTGCAGTTGTTTCTTCTTCTTCTTTTTTTTTTTTTTATTGTGAAAATACTGTACAGAGGGGTTACAATTACATGGGCAAGATAATGAGTACATTTCTTATCAAGCATTGTAGCCTCCTCCTTAATTGCAGTTGTTTCTAACTATAGCTGGGATTAAATAGCCCTGGGTTAATTTATTTAACTTTTATGAGATCTTAATTTTTTTTTTTTGCAATTTCTTAAAATAAAGGCTATTTTTTTTAAACAGTTGTCTTTAGTCTTGATGTTCATTGATGATAGTAGTTCGGTTTCACAAGTACAATTTTATGTGAAGGCTCGATCAAGTTTCAAGTGTCTGAGGTTGTCCTTGGTGGTTAGTGCGGTTCTTAGGGATGGATTATCTAAATGAGGACCCACACAAAGCTGGAAGAGCTTTTTTGTATCATGGACACAGGCTCTCATGTGCTCTGCTTCTGTCAGTAAAACTTGGTTCTGTCTGAAATGCTGGCCGAAGGTTAAAAAGATAGGATTTAGAAGTAGGGAAATAGTGGGGTATAAACTATTCTATTTTAAAACATTAATATTTGGGAAGAATTTTCATTATTTTTTTATTTTTAGTTTTATTGTGAAAATACTGTACAAAGGGGTTACAATTGCATGGGCAAGATAATGAGTACATTTCTTATCAAGCATTGTA